AAGCAGTGAGTGGGCTGCAGGGGGGGAGGGGGCCTCGGGGGGAGGGAGCTCCATGAGCAGAAGGCAGCTGGGGAGGGAGAGGGGGCTTCATACGTGGGAGGGGGCTCAGAGGTCCCATTTCCTTGTCTAGACAGGAGCACCTGAGAGCAATGACTGTCCCCTCCCCTCTGGCGAGGGACTCAGCCGCAGACGGGGCAGTGAGGAAGTGGCCTCTTTGCTCCTCTTCTCGGGGCTGGGAGCGGGAGCATCGAGGGTGAGCCCCAGCCTTTCTGCCTCTCGGTGGGTATGGGAAGTGGGGTCCTCCCCTCCCCTCCCCAGCGAAGCCTTTTGCCCCTGGGGCCCTGAAGCAGCCGGGGGTCCTGGGTGAGGGTGGGAGTGGCAGGGAAGGGGCTGAGGGCCCACCCTGCCCTCCCCTCCATTAACGTGGAGGCAGGCAGGGGGACGGCAGCCCCAGGCTGAATTTGTTACTCATTTTGCTCTTGGCTCTTCTGGTGGAAAAATCGAAGCGCTCCCCCTGGTACAGCTGAGGCGGAGAGGGTGAGCGTGGCTGGGAGGCCATCCTGGCAGGGGAGTCGCGGGGCGGGCAGGCGGGGCCTGGCAGCCTGGCCGGGGAAAGACTGCCCCGTGCTCGGGTGCTTCCCGAACACCTGCGGATGCTGGAAGTCTTTCTGTAAGTTCCCGGGGTCACGACCACCATGCCCACTTCACAGGCGGAGAACCTAAGGCTCCAAAAAGTCAAAGGTCGCCTGCCGAGCCTGAAGTGGCAGAGGCAGGATTGGAACCCAGTTGTGTCTGGCTCATTGGACGGTGCTCTTTCCCAGCACTGGACCCTGAGCGCCTCCCTCCTCGGCCCCGAGCCCCCTGAGCAGCTCCTGGGGGGCAAGAGCCTTGCAGGAATCCACAAGGAGGGGCCTGCCCCACCTCAGAACGGACCTCATCTCTCTCCCGTCTCTCATCTCTCGCACTGTCCGCAGTCCCTCACTTGGCCCTGGGGGCCTGAGGAGACCCCCCCCCCCCGCCCCCGCCATCTTTCCAGCAGCCCCAGTCCCTGCCCCTGCCCCTCTCCAGCCTCTCCAGCCGGTGGAAAGAGGAGCCCAGAGAGGAGCCCAACCACTTTCCCTCTGGAATCTGCTGCCTCGCTGCGATGGGGAAACCATCTGGAGTGTATTACGGGCAGTGGGGAAAGCTGAGAGCAGGAAAATGTGAGTTGGCCCCAGCAGTTCCCGGCTGCAGGAAGAGGGGGCTCAGTGCTCTTCAGGGGACAGGCCAGCAGCTGCCCCCCCTCTCCTGTCTCTGATGGGGCAGAGCAGGGAGGTGCCCGGGAAAGGGTGGTCTGGGGAAGGCAGGGCCCAATTGGAACATGCTCGTCTTACCCACCTTCCCATTTCATAGAGGAAGCCCATGTTCAGAGAGGGATAGTAGCTCCCCCAGGGCCACAGAGCCAGTCGGGACGAACAAGATCAGAGTTGGAACCCTTCCACTCTCTGCACCCCTATAGACAGTGGAAGTCCCCAGCGTGGGGGAGTCGGGGGGCCGGGGGTGGGGGAAGCTGGAGCCAGGGGCCAAGCTGAAGCTGATGAGTTTTCTCTCCCTCACTTTCAAAAGAGCGAAGCGAAAGGGCAAAGGCTCATGGACAGGAAGGAATAGCCTTCCTTCTTTTGGGGTCTCCGTTCCTTGCCTCCCAATGCCACTCTTGCCCCCCATGCCCTCCTTCCCTGGAGCCGGATCCCTGAGGGGGGCCATGTGGGGGGGGGCCTGGGCTGGGGCCTCGAGGCTCTTCCTCTGGGTCCCAG